ATATAAATTAAAATATAATAAAAATTAAATTTTATAATATTTTTTACAATTTAAGTATTACATCAATTTTTTTTAAAATAAAATATTAATTATTAAATAATTATAAATAGATAATATGATGCAAATGGCTTAGTTGCATCAAATGCTAAGCCACCACTGAAATTTATGCCAATTATTTCCATATTAAATTCAAAATTTTATTGGTCAGAATCATAATATATGATAAACTTATAATTACGTGATAGTAGTTAAATCATGAAACTTCATGTCATTTTACATCATTGGCAATAACTTTTTTTTTAACTTTATATTCTAATTTAATAGAATTAGAATGCCAAAATTAAATAAACGAACTAGACAGTCTTAAAAAGCTATTAAGAAACATTAGAAGCAAGAAAAAGATTCTAAAGAACTATTAGATGCTGAACTGGATAAGTTTGATGAATCATGATTTGGTACTTTTTGGATAGAGAGTAAGGAATGCATTTTGATAGTGACAAAATTATGGATGAAATGCAAGCATAGAAGCCAAATACATTAAAACAATTAATTAAAAGTGCAAATCACATGTATAAGCTATAAATTTATATAGATCAGTATATAATAGTGATGCAAAGTTAACATTGCGTAATAAGAGAGCATATTAGTAAAAAGCAGCTTCAGATTCTAAGAAAATTACCTAAATGTTTTCAACAAAAGAAGCTGCTAAGCCTAATACAGATAATGATGATCTCATATTTAATGATATATATGATAGCAGTGATGATGAAAATAATAAATTTATCTTAGATCTCTTGATTTATTATTAAAAAAAAGAATGATGATTTGCAGTTTCAGATGATAAGTCAATTTTTCCATTTAATTCAAAATCAAGGATATAGCAAAAAGGATGCAAGTAATCTTCTTGCCCAGAGCTTAAACAAAGGTTTATGGCAAGCGAGATTTATCTGCTTATAGACGAACTAATAGCTTAATAATAATATAATTATTATGTCTAAATATGGATACTATGTAAAGATCTAATCTCTTCTTTTACATAAAGATGTTAAATTGTGAGTTATTAAATATCTACGTATGTATAAATTCAAGTTGAATGTTGCTGATTTTGTAAAATTCATTAAGAATGAGGTTATTCTTACCCTTGAAATAAAAGAAAAGACAAGTATCTCACATTCAACTGTACATGAATGGCTATATATTCTTGGCTGGCAATATAAAGACCACTTGAAGAATATTTATTTTGATAGTTATAAACGTTATTAATGTTACTTTTTCCATTGAATAAGTTAACTATGATTTGAAGTCAGGGAGACAATAGCTATGACTTAAATCTAATCAACTTAACACGTTATTTATTAGAAAGTTTATTTAGTTAACAAGAATAAAATTAAAGCTTTATGTTTGCAAAATATTAAGATTATTTATTATTGTTAGTAAATGTATATTAAATACAATATTGGGATCTTGTTAGAATTTGTTCTTTTTTCAAGGCATTTTCATTTTCTTTATATAGGAAAATTACAATTAAAGAAAATCTATAGTATTTATGATACTACTGATAATAATAACAGAGCTAATAGATATGCTAATTATGATATAAATAATAATAATGATATAAATAATAAAAATATAATAAATAATATATGTGTCCTATTTGGCAGATATGGCATATTTAACATATATATCATATTTAACAAGTTTTTTAGTTTCTGCTAGTTTTAACGTGAAAATGTAGTTGCAAATAAAAATTAATTTTTGCAATAATAGTAGAATTACAAAAATGAATTGCTATTTATGAAGGCAATAATTTGGACCAAATCATCTTACCTGTACTTTCACATGATGTTCCTGAGATTGTTCTAGTTACCCATTATAAATCAATTTTCATGTCAACGATGATATTGTTATAGCTTAGGGTCTAACAAATAAGAATAGACTTCATCATAAGTCACAAGACCTTAGTATTCACGTAAGTGACTTTTTTTGTGAGTCTATTAGATGACTTCAGCTTTCAGAAAAAGATTATTCTGCTAACAATTTACTTTTTAATAGTGAGCGGCTTATGTATACTGAAGCTTGTATTATAATGTATTCTGATACAAGTTGTGATAGCTGGTAGATAAATAAAGATGTTATTAATCAAGTAAAAGAGCGGACTATTCTAATATTTGAATATACTCATCTGAGAAAAAATGCATTATTTATGTTTGATAACAGTTGCAATCATAATGCATTTACTGATGATGAATTGATAGTTTCAAGAATAAACATGAAAGATAGTAGCAAACAATCATTTCTCTATAATGGTAGAATGCCTGATAGCTCACTTCATATTATGACATTTACAGATGTTAATGGTGTAAAGCCCAAAGGTATTCGATGAGTTTTAAAGAGTGTGGTTTATAGATATCAGGTTTAAAAAGAAAATGTAATGCATGCACGTAATATAATCCTGATCTAATTAAGCTAGACTATTATATAACATGTATCCTTCTGCTTAACTTGACTTTGTAGCATAAAAGATGCATCTACAAGAGATAAGCTATAGTTAATAAGTTAATTATTCAATTTAATATAGCATTTTTTTTAAAATACTTATCTTTTAGGTTATTGAGGTAGCAGAATATATATGTATGTTTTACCTGAAGTTTCACTGTGAACTTAATTATATTGAGTCTTTTTGGGTAGAAGCAAAGTGATATTCATGTCTCCATTACTACTATACATTCAAAGACCTTAAGGAGGTTGTACCGTGTGTATTAGATTCTGTTAGTCTAATAAAAATTTGTCAGTTTGCATGTCATTCTGCACATTACATAAGTGCTTATGAACTTGAAGTTTCAGGTAAGATAGCTATCTTTGCAGTTAAGCAGTATAAGTCTCATCATTGTATTCCTGTAAATGTTTTAGAAGAATTTAGTAATATGTAATTATTAAATTATGATTAACCAATCATATTCTGTCATATGCTTGATACATACCAATAATATTTCGAGCATGTGATGACAGAGGCACTGAAAATCCCGCTATCACTATTAAAGTTAATGTTAAAAAAATCTTAACTATAAAATCTTTATAATAAAATAAAAAAAATACATAATATTAAAGACTATATCAAAGACTATTTAAAAACATATTTAAAAAAAAATTCCTTTACATTTTGAAATTCTTAAAAATTGATTGATGTGAATAAGCTGTTTGCACTATAGATAAATATAATTTATTACCATTTAATTCTTTTAATGTAAGAGTATCAGAAGTATCTAAAACTGGTTCTATTATAATATATTTATTTTTTAAGAAATTTGAAATTAATTATATGGTTTATAGCAAAATCTAATATTTATAAATGTTCTTTACCATTTAATTTTTCTAATATTTGAAACATTATTAAGTATAATTAAAAGATTATTATTTGTTTAATTATATTTGCTATTGTATTTACCTTCATCACTTAATACTAGTACTATACTTTAAGTTTATTAAAATTTTTATAAATAAAATCATAGATGAAAATTGCAGTATTATGGTTATTATTATATTCACCTTCATTACCCAAGGTTAATTCTACATTATAAATATAATAAAAAATTCTTTTAGTATTGGTTAATTATTTATAGAAAGTGTTGTATCTACCTCCATCAATTGAAACTGATTCTATATTCGAATTTGATAAAATTTAATTTAGCAAACAAAATGAGTATAATTAACCTTCTAATGAGGAAGCTTTTTTAGCATCCGAAACTGTCAAACCGTCAAATTAACTCATTTTATTCATATGAAGCTTCATATCTTTTATTCCTTTTTATTGTTTGGTAAAATGTTTTTAGTTTATTTATTTCACTCTTACCTTTATAATTACTATTAGACATTTTTTTTAAAAACAATTTATCTATCTTGTATAATGTAATAGTATGTAATGTAAAACGTATGCGAGGCACTTTATAAATTATTTAATGTTGATAATTTGAATCAGAGAAAAAATTTTTTTCTAATTAAATACAAATAATCTTTTTGGTTGTTTTCGGAGTTTCTTTTTTTCGTCATCAATTGATTATATTTACTACTATGGTACTTGTTGATATAAAACAAAAAGCAAATCAATCATAATTGTTTTACGGATATTTACTTCGCATCTCTGATTTTACTGCGGCAACGATTGGAGATGTTTCATTTTTTTAAATTCTTAATATCTGCGACAAGTAAGGATATAATGGTTTTTTTTTGCATTTGCATATTTTTTTTTTTTTTTTTTGATTTTTACGATTTTTACTGCCGCGCTAAATATTGTATGTGTTAGCTGGAGAGAAGGCGTTATTTTCGTTATTTTAAAATAAAAAATGAAAATAAAAAATAAGAAAAATTAAATTAAATTAAAATAAAAATTTCGCGGATCTCGGTGGAGATGTTTTGTTTTTTATATCGCAACGCGGTTTTTGTATATTCTGTAGCTGAGAATATTAATTCTTTTGAGGTTCTAGTCAGAATATGGCTTTAGTTGGTTTTCAATAGTTTATTTAATTATGTTAACCACAGATTACCCTTATTTATACTACTTTTTGTAAATTTGAAAGTAAATATACACGTCATAATTAATAACCGTTGACTTTCATAATTTGATATTTTGTAGGATTATTGTCATTATTAACTCTAGGTTAAAGGTTTTGTTTGTTTGTTCCAATCTCTGATAGAGTTAGGCTCAGTTCTTTATGATTATAAATTTAAAATATTACTTCATTAATACTCAATAACAAAATGTTAATCATGCAGTTACGTAATATTTACATTATGTTATAAAGTTTTTAAAGTTGTCGTAAAGAATTACGCTAGAATGTCGTAATCATCTTTTATGAATTTACCATCTAAATATTTTTATAGAATCGAACTGAGCCAAATCTTATAAATTACATTTCCTGATTAAATTTATCGTATTAATAGAATTATCTGTTGATTTAAGGAATCTTTCAAGTAATAATATTAGGCCGTCAAATAATCACTTTTCAGGTCCTTTTTTGGCTTGCATTAAAAGAATAATATTCAATTATTTGAATATAAAAATCCACGTCAAAAATATTCTTAAGTGGTCTGATTTTGCGAAAAAAATCTGTTGGACTAATTTTTTTAAAATTAATATACGATAAAAATGGTTGAACTAACTCCTTAAATATCAATATTTCATTATTTGTCCACTTTTTAATATCGGTCGGTAATCTATCGTCAGATTGTGCAATGCTCCATTCCATTAATCTGTCCCAAACTTTAATAGGTCTTTCAGAATCCTTGGTTTTCTTCAGAACATCAAGGAGCATGTCTTGTTTGATTGTTGTGAAGTCATCAGCTTTGAAGATTAACAAGGGATCATTTCGAATAGCAAGCTTACAGAATCGAACTAATTTGCCAAATTGTATAAATTGATCTGCAATATTTTGAATGAGAACGAAGTTCTTTTTTAATGATCCTTTGTTGTCAAGAAGTTCATCTTCAATATAATTACATAAATCTTTAAGGCACAGTTCATCAGCCGCAATTAAAATCGCAACATTTGTTTTAACATCATATTTGTTTAAATCAATTTCACCAGTATATATGTATCTAATAAATTGAAATTAATTAATTCATAATTTATTTATTTTAAATAATTTTGTTCAAGGAGAAAACCTAGAATATACTTACTTAAAAATAATTTCGAATACTTTAACAGAGATGTTCGGTTTTTTCAATTTAATAATGTTGTTTTCTGTTTTTTTCCAGTTGTTTGATAAAGCGGTACGAAAATAAGATGAACGAATTTTTAAAATTAATGAATGTGCTTTTATAAGTTTTGTATCAGGCTCTTCTCCAACTAAAATTTCTATATCAGAAAATTCACCAGTATCGAGAATATCATTGTATTCATTATACAATGTATTTAATAGTCTGTTAGTGGACATTTACGAAACTTCAAGAGTTAGGATGTGGGAAAGTTGAAATGCAAAGATGAATTAGGTAACAATTTATACTTTCAGAACGAACGATCGTCAAGACATCATATCATGATGCAAGCAAAAATGATGATGTCAAAATGATGTAGTTGGAAATAAAATATTATTGGAAAATTATAAGAAATGGAAATTTTACTCCAATAGAAAGTCATCACTCGTGCATATTCCTAACTCATTAAATGAAATTTTAACATTAAGCTTTAATATTTCGAGTGAAATTTCACTGGCGAATTTGAAAAAATGGTTTCGCCTGAAACATTATTATATATTATGTTCATATGCTTTGCATACGAATGAAGGTTCACTTTATTCATATCTTTTTTTTTGCTCAAAAAAAAATAATTTTATTAATATAGTTTGATAGCTTACCGTAATTATCTAAAACATTAAATTTTTTTTTAAATTTCATAATGAAATATAGTTCGATAGCTTACCGTAATTATCAATTTTTTATAAATAAAAATTTAGTTTATATAGATTATAATGGTAAGATCATCTATATTTAATTATAAACGTCATGTAACCTATTTATATGTTTTTATTTAGGTATAGATTTATTTAGTTTTAAATTACAAGAATTATAGAAATTATATAATTGTTAACAAAAAAGCTTACCATCATCATCTAAAATAAATATTGTAATTATAAAATACGGTAAACAATATAATTAAATTAAATTTGAACAATAATAATAATTTACCAATTAAATTTTCAAACATTTATTTGAATAATAAATATACATGTTTACGACCTAAATTGTTAAATTTTTTGAATAAAATATTTTTTAATTTTAGATTTATAACGAAATAAATTAGTCAAAAATATATATATATATTTGAAATTAGCTAGCTTACTTTCTAAAGTATAATCAATCGTTTAAATGGTTTCGGATAGGAATTTGGCTAGAGTTTAAACTGTTTGTTATTCATGACGTTATTTTAAGGCTGACGAGTATTTCGCTTCGCTAAAATATTTAGACCACGCTTATAGAAAATGGCTATTTACCGACTTTTGCTAAACAAAGTTTAATACGCAGGGAAAATGGTTCAATATATTGTGATAATGATTTCTTTTTGAAAAGGACAAAACATGACTTTGGGGTCATGAAGGCAAATTTAATTCCGACCAGAATTAAAAGTTAAATTTGGATGAATTTAATATACCATATATGGAAAAAAATGTCGTCATCATAGTAAAATGTTTGATTACGTAGATCGCGTAGTTCATTGGTCATTCATTTGTTTTCTCAGCCACCCTTCTTATAAAAGATCTACGAACCTTAGTTTGCCATCTTTATTCCAAAAGTTTTTTTTTAATTTGGTACGTGTCCGTATTTTTTTTTATGAGCACTTGAAAGATTTGAAAGGAGAATATTTAAAAAATTTTTTATTCAATCATTTTTAGGAATGTTATAAAGATGTCATATAGATCAAAACCAAAAATATTACGTAGAGAAATGCAAAGGCGACGACTTATTTCATCACTTACCGTTAACTCCCTTACTTCAATCCTTGCCCCAACCTCGACAGCTGTATCTTCTTCTTCTATTCCCTCTTCTTCTACAGCTGTCACTTCTTCTGCTTCTACGTCTACAGCTGTAAATTTAATTCCTCCCCCTCCCATTATTTCAGTTCCTCCCCCTCCCCTTGTTACTGTCCCTCCCCCTCCAATTGTTACTGTACCTCTGCCTTCCCTTGTTTCAGTACCTCCCCCTCCACCTCCCGTTACAGCTGTAACTTCAGTACCAGCTCGCCCTATTGCACCTATCCGTCGTTTTTCTAGGTGGCCAGAGCCGATGGATCTCGATCCACCAGGCATTTTTGTAGAAACCCCTTTCATTCCTCCCCCTAGTCGATGGCCGGAGCCAATGGATCTTGATCCTCCTGGAATTTACGTTGCCATCGATTATGGTTTTTACCCCTTTCCCCTTCGTTTTTAGCTGGCCGCCTCTCCTTCTTATTCGTCGTCTTTGAAATTCTCAAATAAAAAATAAAATTTTTTAAAAAAAAAAAAAAAAAAAAAATCTCTTTTCCCTTTGAAAAATTTCACTAGGGTGCTTATCTTTTGATAAGCATGACTACGATACCTTAATGTATCGTATCTATTATATGAAGTTGGTTGTTTTGTTGTTCCTTTTTGCATTTAAAATAATCCCCCATTGGCCACTTCATCCACATTTTGTAGTTTAGTATTTTTTTTGTTTTTTTTTTATAATACTGTTTTTTTGTATTTTGATGATGTCTTGAGGTGAAATTTTTTAAAACGATTTTTATGACCCTACTTACATTCGTATGCACTTTCTTTTTTTTTTCACCTCAAATTTTTTTTTAACCTGAACGAAGCTTGCCACCTCTGCGCGGTGTCCAGGAGAAACAGTTATAGATTCATCTATATCTGGCTAAGAGCAAGCATTTATTCTTTAAAAATATTGATTAGACACACATGATTCATGTAAATTTTATATTAAAACGGATAGGCAAATGATCTAAAGTGATATTTTAATTTTGCATTCGAATTTCGAATACCCGATTGAATATTTTACTACGTCATTGGTTTTAAAATGCGAACAGTGACAATTCTTCATTCACACGATTAGTATTTTTAATCCATGAAACAAAATTATTTTTTGGGTTAATTGACAAATACAAAAAAAAAAATTACTTTCCTCATATAATTAATAAAGACCTTGTCTCTCTCTCTCTCTTGTCTAGTCTTTTTTTTTAAAATCATTCTTTAGAAAAAAAATTATTATTTTTTTTTGTTTTGTGCTAATTTCAATATATTTGTTAATACATCTAAATAACTAAATTTGTATGACATGAATACACTCTATCTTTTTTAGATCTAATAAATGTGCTTGCTTGAAACTAATATCCATTATCTTGAACATAATGCAGTGGAAATGAATTATTTTATAAAGGTTAATATTTATAAATGATTTGCAACTAGTTAGAGGTAACTATAAACGATCCGTCATATTGAACCAATTCGTCAGACCGATCGATATGTCGTCACAGCCCAATATCTTATTTTGTACGATATTTTAATTTTTTTGAGAGATAATATAAAGAAGCAGCATCGATAATTTATTTGTTGTGAGATAATTTATTAATTTATTTAATTTATAAAAAATAAAATAACAAGAAAACTGTTTTTATAATTTTATCAGTTTCTTGAACTTGTTTATAAATTAATGAATTATTATCTTTATGGTCTGGTCTTTTTCTAATTTTTTAAATTTACTTATAATTCATTTGCTTTAGGACGCTTTGAAGGATCTTCATCCCAACACTTTCTAAAATTTGTTGAGGAACTTTATAATTAGATTCTGGTCTCAACCCTTCACAGATTTGTATAGCCAAGGAAAGTCATGGGGGCGGGGCACATCATGAGGAGGAAATCCAGTCATTACTTCGTATGCTACAACTCCAAATGCATAAATGTCAATAGCTTGAGAATACGGTTTTCCTCTTAAAATTTCAGGAGCTTTATACCGTCATTTAGACGATTTACTGGTCGACACAATCTTAAATCTTTTTTTTTCCGAGGCTTAAAATATTACTACCACAATGAAAATCACAGTAAATGTATTTTATATTATGAATTTCTTCAAGACCAAATTCAATGCGACGTAAAATTATCAATTTATTCAACCAATCCATGGGCTTGCATTTATTCAGATATTGTCTTAAAGTGCCATTTTCTGCATATTCCATTACTATCGCAAAGTTATTTGTTTTTGGAACTTTTGGTAATGCCATACAATTGAATGACGCGACCTGATCATTCATTTCAATATGTGACTTGATCTGAAAAAAGATTATTCATAACAGTTAATAAAAGATTTTCTATTGAGTCTTATGAGAAAATTATCTTACTTCGCTTAAAATTCATCTGTAATATCTTGCGAATTGCGCAAAAATTTTAAAGCAACAGCTTCATTGAGGTATCTTTTCCATTTGTCTATAAATCCATCTTTCCATTTTGCTTTAAAGATCTCTTCAAATCCTCCTTTTGCCAAACGAGACATACATATCTTCTAGTCTATCATATTTGATCCATTCTATTACTTCTTTATGGTTCTTTGCTTTGCGTTATGTTTTTTTAATAAGATGATCGGTTTTGCACTAGTCCAATTTTAATTTCGTTGAAAACTTTTAGCGTTACATGTTTGACACCAATCATAATCGATATTAGACTTATTACACTCTTCGCAATGCTCTTTCATGGAAATATCTTCCATATTGAATAATTTTTTTTTTTTTTTTGCGCAAAGTAGAATATGATAAAAAGTAAATATTAAAGTCAAAATAAAGGGGTTAAATATTAATTTATATCGGAGGAAGTAATCCGTTTTGATTGAAGTAACGCAAAGAAAATCTTTGGTCCCATGAATTATGTTAAAGTGGTACATGGTTTTATCAATAATTTACCAAATACAGTAAAAGATAACATTCTTGTCAAGATCTTCCGAATATGAATGCTGCTCTTTAAGTTTAATTAGTAATTTAATTATTTAGATTACGATTTAGATTGATTGTAATGTGATAAATCGAAAATCCAACAACTTCCAATGTTAAAAAAATGAATTAAGTTTGAACATGAATCTGGCGCGATACCTTTATTTTATTTATTTATTTATTTTTGTTTTAGATTTTTATGGACATCGTTCGAGATCCAAACATGATCTGTATATTTTTGGCAAATTGAAATGCTCGTGTAACGAAGAAAATTATGGATTTATTTGAAACACATTCAAAAGTTAAAGTTTTCACATCACAATATAATAATCGTCTGATATTATAACAAAATTATAAAATTATTGGAGTTTGCAAAAACGTTTTCGAAATATGATACGTGAAGGATAGTATGTGAGTTAAGATTGCAGCTTGCCAAACTTAATCTAGATCAAAATATAACATTATCCCTCGCGTACGATCTCGACATTTGCGAAGGAAAAATTATGTAAACTTTATAATTTTTTTATTTTCTATAGATGCAAGCCAGAACTTTCATTAATGCTGGCCGTAATTATAGATCAGTATTAAATTCAGAATTAATTGCTGTAAAATTTGCTAGATGTTCTGCATATAATCATGTTGTGGGTAAGGTTGCCGGGCAAAACCCCAAGGTTTCGACAGGCATCGAAATCGAAACCCATCGAAACGTTTTGCCAAATTTTTTTATTAAAGGCAAAATTGCGAAAGTTTCGACGGGTGGCAAAAGTTTCGACGAATGACAAATACCCATCTTATTAAAATATAATTTTTTAATTTTTTAATTTATTTTGTTTTTACGAGTTGGGTTTAATTTTTGACTAGTCTTGGTAGGAATAATATTACTATTCAAAAATTGAATAATCTATTTTAATGTAGCGCATAAGTGCGGAAATAGAAGGATTGAGTCTTAATTACATCACCATTGTTTTATAATAAAATTTCTTTTTTAATATAATTGGATTTAAGAAAAATTATAGTGGAATTATCAAAGAAAAAAAACCGAAAAACCTAACTTAATTACGGAGAAATAATAAAACTTATATCGCAGCGACCTGATCTTAAAAAAAAATTCATACCGCTTATTTATGAAATGATCCAAGTCGAAAGAGAACCTAATTATTAATAAAAAAAATGGTTTTTTAAAAAAATCAAAAAAAGAAAACTTTCGATCGCTGTAACCCAAAACAATAGTACTCAAAAGTATTAAAATATGAAACTAATAGCTTGTTTCTTTAAGAACGAACCAGAAAAGTATTAAAAATAATAATAATAATATGATTACAAATAAACCAGAAATTCTGTTAAAAGCATAGATATTTTCAAAGCAGGGCATCTTTATAAAATAAAAAAATTTTAAATTACTACTCCTATTGTTGGATTCCGTCAAAAAACTAAAGAACAAGTCAATTTGATGAATGATTTGACAAATATTATATACGACGAAGACCGACAGGTGATCCGGTAACGCACACATATAGAAGTATTATAGAACACATTTCTAACGGATTTCTAAGAAATGGATTCTGAATATTTGTAGATGATTATCTCGTTATTAAATGCAAGTAATTATTTATTTATGTATAACATATTAAATTTTGAATTTCTTCAAACTAAATAAGTTCATTAAGACAACAAGCGCGCACGTAAAAATGTTTATAAAGCGTTTGACGAACATGTCAAAGCTCGCTCTTTTTATAGGTTTTCGTTCAAATGACGATGATTTTGAAGATTTTTTTACCCGGAAGGAACTGAACCATTATTTTTCATCTTTAAGGAACATCTTCTATTTGTTGAGAATCCTACATGAATGAATTTAAGGAAAAAAATAATTATATGCTTATGATCTAGGAAATAAGCTGCTCGCGTTCATATTTTAAAATTTTATTTCATATACGTCTGATTATTGATTATGTTCACAATTTAGTTTATTTAATGCTGGCCATCATCACATAATCATATATTTACGCCCTTTCTAAGAATTCGCAAAGTTGTTATCGAACCGTCTAAACTTTCGAGACCCATCGAAACCTATCGAAACCCGTCGAAACCCATCGAAACTGTCGAAACAATTTTTGAAAAGTTTCGACTTTTGCCAAAATAGGTTTAGGGTTTTGCCCCGCAACTATATTGTCTACTAATTTTTTTTTATTAATGTTTGATTTAATTATCAGAACCGAAGAGCTGTACTTAGTTAATTAGTATTAGTATTATAATTAATTTTACTTTTTACTATAACAAAATAAGTATGCCTGTAGGAAAAAGTGGTTTATTATTTCAAATGTACATGTACTAATAAAGTTAATATATTTTATAAAATGGCGAACCCTACTTTCAAAAACGTAATATCGTCGGGAAATATTTACATTCCAACTTTTTAATTTCATGCAACAAATTTAAGCCGATTGATATGTTCGAGTACTATAATCGAGGCTGAGAAAATAGGCTTTTTGGTTATAAAATTGGTACAAGTATTGATTACTTATCGACATTTTGCGTACTAAGAAGTATCATGAATTAATCAAAAAGATTCCTTTAGTGGTCTAAACTCATATAAATGTTTAAAATTTTATAATTGCATCGTATATTCCGTTTATAATAAATTCCTTAAAGCTAAGGAAAAATTGGTTTCAGAAAATAAGTTTGTTATTGATTCAACTTTCTTGACCTGCATGAGGTATTATAAAAAATTAATCTTATACATAATCCCATTTTGTCTCGGAGTCGCTTCACACCTAGACAAGATTATATAAATTTAAATGAAAAAATCCGAAAAAAAATTTTGTTAATGTTAAATCTGGACTTACTTTACTAAAAAAAAAATCATATTTAGTAAAATATATTTTTATTCTTATTTCTTTTTTTGTAGTTTTCTCCCTTTCTACTTCAATCGCCCATATCTGCAAATATTCATTCATAATTAATTTATTATAACAACAAATCCAATAATAGGCTTTACAATGTACTACCTCTTATCAATCGTTTTGGGATCTTTTTTCGCCTTACTAAGTTCTATTCCAAGTTTCCAGAACCGGCAGAACTATGTCTTCACCAAATGCAAAATATGAATATAAAAATTAAACCTGCATAGAACTTCTTGTAGACAAACCAATTGAAATATTGGAATTCTCTCCATATTGAATTATTGGTGTGACTTGAAGGATTACCGCTTCTGCTATTATCAATTAAATAATTTAAGCGGAAGTCGTCCAAGAAAGAATAAACCTTGCCGTTAATAATTAAATACTTAAATTTATATAATAGCATTCCGGATGTATATTAATTTGTGAAGTCATTATTAACTAGCTGATTTTGGAATATCAATAAATTTTGAACAACAATGTCAAAAGATTTAGGTGTAATTCCTTATATTGATCTTAAAAATTTGGTAAATGAAAAGAAAAGAAAGTACATTGCAACAATATAAGCTGAGAAAATTGACTTTAAAGTAAAAGTATTGCATGCTCTTTCTTCCTTTTTATGTTGGTGAACAATTTCGACAACGATTTAGCAATAGATATTCGTTCTTGATACACCTGAAAACTTCCAATTATACAATAAATTTTTAATTTTTGGAATCTCATAACACGTTCGAATTACATTTAATTTTTATTTTGAAATATCTTTACATGCAAAGTATAATTTTTCACCGGTAGTACAGCATATAACCATACCTTTACTCTAATTATCGTATATAAGCAACGTTTTTAATAACCCTCATTTTCAATATCTTTTGATCACTTTGAATCGGGATACCATCGCAATGTTCAAATTCTGGAGTGAACTCTTGGTATTTCACTAAGAAATAAAATAATCAAATTAAAAAGTATTTATATAATTTAATCAATATAAGAATCATTGATTGCTCACAATAAAATCCCAAATCATTTCCAAAATTTCTATGACAAATTATTGAATTCATTGTTTGAAGGAGAATAATAATTATAACGATTAAACCTATTTATAAAATACGTCGAGTAAGTTAAACATTACATTACTTTTATTCAAAACTTAATAAAAAACGAATTAATCTTACTTAAAACAAATACTATTTGGAACCATGAATCATGTTGAATAAAGTATTTAAAGCTACATAAATGTTCATTTAGTAAGTTATTTGAACAGTGATTATAGAGATTTTCGATGATAAAATAAAGTTCATAAGCATTTCCGATATATATAATGATCATTAATTTATGTGATTCGTCTTTAATCTAGATAAAAGAAAAATATCACAACTTAATCAATGAAATGAACAAAGATTATTATTTAGTTGAAACAAATCATATTACCGCCTTTGGAATGAATGCAACATATAGTTGAAGAATAAAAAACCATGGAATTAATTCATAAAAAGATATTTTTGGATCGATTCCTAAATTGAAGTAGTACCCATAAATCCTCGCAAGTTTTCTAAACCATGTTACATATGATAAATATCCAAAATGTACCGCTTGTGCATGTATAAGAATTAGATTTCTTTGATAGGTTTTATACATTTCTGTTAAAAGTGTAAAAAACGATACAATCTATGAACGTTAAATATAGTTAGTGCAACCATGAACCTTTTAGAATGCTTACTTTTAATTTGTTCTTTTTTTGTGATTTTTAGATCTTTTATTACTGGCCAAATCCTTAACCGAAAAGAAATATCCAACAAGTTAAGATTTAAATTTATATTACAAAAAAAAAAATTATTTATTTGAATGATATTGAAACATACCTTCTTTTCCACATATTAATGACTAAGATTAATTGATAAATAGTAAATGACGTATACAAAATAACCAAAGTAACAAGATAATTAAAAATAAACTCCTTTAACTCTTTCAATCCTTCATCTTGTGCTGCGAAATCAAGACAAACGACATTTATACACCTTAGAACAATTCTTAAAGTGATTAATAACAATGTGCCAATATTAATAATCCTAAGAAAGAAATATATGATGCCATGTAATATTGATCGTTGTTGTAACTATACAAATCATTTAAATTTTATTAGGTAAATATGGCACCTAAGAATAAAAAAATGAAAAATTATTTATAACATACTGCTACAATTCCGGATGTTTTAAAATAAACTTCAAGAATTAATATAACCAATGGTCGTAATGTTTTTAAAACTAATAACCATATAGAAGACTGAAATGACATTTATGGCACATTCAAGGATATAAGAAACAATCAATAATTTCTCAACAAAAGTGTAATGAGATAGAAACGAATTGCGTGTAAATTTTGATAAATTCTCCATCTCTTTTTTTTTACACTTTAAAATTGACGACGACAACATTAGTTAATTTATATTGTATTGAAAAAATTCATTTTACAATGATAAGTACGAAGGTCGCACCATGCTCACTGTTCTTGTGAAATCGGCCGATCCTAAATTAAAAGCTTCGGGCAATACAGCATATGATCGGGCGAACTCTACAAATCAATAAATACAATATTTTAAATCATGTAAAACGTGATTATAAACAGTACAGTAAATCAAAAGATTAGGCGTTATAAATAAGTTAGCTTAGGGCTGAAATAAATAATTAAGTAAATTACATAATAAATTAATTTTTTTAGACTTCTAAGATTTGGGCCATAAATGGCTTGGTCAAACTATGCCAACCATAATATTTGATATTTTAGTTTATTTAGAATATAATATAAAAATATTACAAAGAAATTTTAAATAACACAAAAGTTAGCTTTGAGTCAACTTTTTGAATATTTTATATATAAATCATATATTATTATAAATATTAATAATATTAAAAATTTAATTTATGAAATAGACATTCCAGAAATAAATAAAAATATTGTAAATATTAATAAGATACTTTGTAAACTCATTATATCAATTAATACTAAATAAAATATCAAAAATTAAAAGTTGTCAACATTCAAAATATAATATTTATGAAGCAAAATCAATAAATTTATTTAAAATTCCAAAAAGATTAATTGAAGTATTAGAATTAAATGAAGATACAATGATTTGCAATATTTGCAAAAAAAAACTGATAATAATTTAGAATGTTTACAACATAAACAATATCAAGCATTAATAACTAGAAAAAATAATTATATAATTTACAAAATAAATTAATAGATGATAATAAATATAAAAATACATGTTAATATTCAAAATATGAAATTTATTTAAGTGAAAAAATCAAATAAAGAAAAGAATTATACAAATAAAAATCTTACCAAAATTCCAAAAAATTAATTGAATTATTAGAATTAAATGAATTTGTAATAATATATAATATGTGTAGAAAAAGAACTGATAAAGATTCAGAATATTCAGAAACTAAAGCATATAAAGCACTAATTACTATAAATAATGATAATAATAATATATATTAAAATAAAAATTATAGTTACTCATTTATAATAAATATCTTATATACCAAAGAAGAATTAAAGCAATTAGAATCTGTATTTGTGATATTAATAAGAATCAGATCAATATAAATTGGATAATATTGCGAAATTTTATAGTATATTCATTTTTATCTAAATTGTAAAGTATTTATATTGAATTTGTATTAAGCTTATTGTTATAGTGCTATTAATGCTAATACAATATTCTTCTCTTTCTTTTATTTTACCTACATCTTTTATTATTAATAATAAAGGTGTAAAAACTGATAATAAAGAAATAAACATGAATAAAGATATAAAATTAATGATAAAGGTTTAGAAAATAATGTTAAAAAAGTAGAAACTGATGGTAAAAGAGTAGATGTAGGTAAAAGTGTAAAACTTAATGATAAAGATGTAAATTTGATAGTAAGTAAATAAAAGCAGAAAAGATATAGAAATCAATGATGAAAATATAAGAATTGATGATAATAAATCAGGAACTGATAGTGAAGAATTAAAAATTATTAAAATAAGTTAAAATATGTATTATAAATATAATAAAAAAATATAATTTAAATTGTTAGAATATTTAATTTAAAATTATCACATTATGTTAATTTTAAATATTTATTAAATTTTTATAATTAAAATAAATATAATAAAAAATTATAATTTAAATATAAAAAAATACATTATTGTATTAAAATTAAAATATTAATTAAGTAATATATAAAAAAAAATCAAAATATTTAAAAAATAATTTATAATATGATTAATACAAGATAGGATACATTATTACATCACTATTATAGAGAAATTTTACAAAATAAGATTTAGATTTGCATATAAAGTGAAAATTTTTCAATTTATATTAGATTATTAAATTGCATATTTTAATAGGTTTTTTTATAAAATAAGGAGCTGATTTATGTATTTTTAGAACAAATTCAGCAGATTATATATATATATATATATTATATATATTATACTATTTATATTGTATTGAGTATTATCAAATAAACTATTGATTGAATTGCATAATCTTTATGCAAGATTTTATCTTTTTTTTCTCTGATAATTCAATAAAATAAAATTTTTTTATATTATACTAAATATGCTAAGTTAGAAACATAGTTTTAAAAGACTTTCAAAAAATAAACATGTTGTATATATTATATATCCTAAAAAAGTAGTATACATTTGTGATAAAAAAATAAAACTTAACCGAAAGTAAGAAGAGGATTATTTTATCTATTATGTCTATTATTTTAAGTATAAAGCAGATGAAAAACAAAGAACAATTTATAATTAATATATTTAAAATAGTTCCTAAATAAGTAGAGTAAATCAAAGAAGAAGATGAATATGATTCTGATATATATAATAATATAAATGAAGATGATTTGATATAAAATGATAAAGAAATAAATGAAGATAATTAAAATGAAGAACTTTCTGCTTTTAATATTAAAAAAATATTAGATAATACAGAAAATACTAATAAAAAAAAAAGTAAATTTATCTTAGCTTTCAGTCAGTAGAAATATTAAAATATATCAAAAAAACTTCTGCATAATTTGATGCAGTCATTGTATTGAAGTTGTCATATGAGAATTCTTTTCAAATTTATTTATACATAAATTCAGTAGGAAAAAGTTGAATTATAAACAAAAAAGACAATTAAATTATGCACTTTTGCAGAATCTATATAAAAAGTTAATTGAGCAAATATGTATATTTATTTTGTTTAATGAAAATTAATTACGACATTATTTTTAAATGAAATATTTTTATTAATTATAAGGTAATGCAATACATGCAAAAACTTGTACAGGAATTGCAAAAAATGGAAATATATGTAATGAATATTCTTTATTTAATATAATAGAATTTTATGTAATAAAATAGTTTATCTTTTATCACTGCCTAATAATATTAAGTTTACTCTAAAGTATTATTAAGAAGATAATCCTTTAATATGATATTTACAAAATTGTAATTTACGTGATATTTAGAATACATTTAATAATGAATCTAAAAATTAATTAGAAAATCCATGAATTGTTCTTATTGATAAAGTTATAAAAGGTATTTTTAAAGATATATCAGTCTTTACTGATCTTTACAAAGTTATAAATTATGTAATTAAATATAAAATGAAAAACTAATTCAAAAAACTTAAAGTACAATAATGAATTTACTAATTTTTTAATGATATTAAAAGGAATTAATCCAAGAGCCTTAGATTTATTTCAGCAAAATTTGAAAGGACGCTTAATTCAATCAATTAGGTATTATATAATTTATTAAACTAAAATTAAATTATAAACATATATATTTTTAATTTATTTAAAATTATATTTTTAAATTTAATTTAATTTCTATAGACAAATAAAAAGAAATAACAAAGATTATTTAACTAATCCAGAACTATATAATGAAAATGTAATATGATTTAAAAGGCTAATTAATATAATTAATTATAATAGACTAATTTTAGCAATAACTGATAATACAAAACTCAAGTCACAATTATGATATTCTTTTAATCTTAGTTATATTATTGAATCAATATTATCAAAAGAAGAAATAAATGTTTAAATATATAATGATATACACAAAATAATTAGTAAATTAAATTAGAAAATGGAATGACAAAAAAAGTTCATGTATATATTTTACAAGTAAGAATTTTAATTTATATTAATTATTTACTATTTTAATGTATATGTATAATACTAATATATTATATTTATAAATTAAATACTACTGCCATCATTTCTACTAGTGGTAATTGCTTTAATTCCAAATAAAGAAGCTGAGATAACAAATATGATATTACAATTGTACAAATAAATAATTTTATAAATTACGTTATGATTTAGTCTTCATTTACTTTCTTTGGGATCTGATAGTGCTATAACAGAATTTCAAGCTCAATAATCAATTCTTAATATTCAAACAAAGAAAAATTAATAATTAAAATACCCTAATTAAATATCAATTTTTTATGTCTAATTTTTGGTAATATTAGTTCTAATAATACATATCCAGAATTCAAAATATGCAAAAAAACAACAAAGAATACTATAATATCTGATGTATAATTATTAACATTTGGCAACTCTTCAGTCTAATTTGATAATTTTTTACATCTTACTAATAATTTCAATTATATTTTATATAAAATGATGTCATTAAATTAGACCGTCTAGATGATACAACAATCTATCATTTATATTGTTTTTCAAATTTTCACTAATGTCTAACAGCAGATTATCAAATTATAATTAAAATAGAAAGATTTGCAATTTATATTTTTATAATAGATGAATATTATTTATTTAGTTTAATTTATAATTTATATAATTATAATTAATTTCTATTTAAAAAGATAAAATTATCGATAATTACTTGTATTATAATATTATACCAATTGAATGAATTAGAATAGTTATAACAGATTTTTTTTTCTTTAGTTATAGCGTATTTATATAAAACTTCTCTCACATAAATATTCTAGCTTTATTTCATTATAACTAAACTTTTTAGCAAATCAAACTTTCGCTATTTTTATCTCTCTTTGTAAATCACTAATATTATTAATTAAGATTCACTGTAAATATATCTACAAATACAATTCTTATCTTAGTATCATGAATCTGAGTCTGTTGAGCATTTTTTGGCTTTGTATGTCAATTAAATCCAGATTTTGATTTTGCAGATTTAATTCAAATACTTCCTAAAATATTTAAATATAGCAAAGCTTTAAGATCACAAAAATTATCTTTTGATAAAGAAAAAAATTATACACTAAAGCAAATATTTATTATTAATAATTTATAATTTTATTAATATATACTTTTAATTTTGATATTAAATTTATTA